GGCCCTCTATGAGGTGGATTGATTCAGTGACTGGGATAATTGGGATGGGAGTGTCAGAGACAGTGCGATTGGCACAGGAGAGAGCTGAGTTTAGGGCTGTTGTACATAGGGTTGCTATGAGTCGCAAGCGACTCAATGGCACATAACAACAACAACCACCACCTCTGGGATTGCAGTGCAGCTTCTTGCCACTAGGCCACCAGGGCTTTCTTGTTTTCTAACTTATTTTTAAAATTATTTTTATGGCCTAAGTTTTTTTTAAATAGCAAAAATGTTTTTCTTTTCATTGTTGCACATTTTCTTCCTCCCTTCCCTTCTCTCTCCCCAGCCCTCCCCTCAATGTACCCCTTGTTCCAGATTGTTTTCATACAATATACATATTCTTAAGTGCAACACCACACAGGGATCTCCTATATGTCTGACAGTACTTGCTGCTGTAGATTTTTCAACCACTGCATTAGGCTATAAAATCAGTTTCGTTTTGTATTATAATCATGATACCTTCTTCTTTGCCTGACACATCCTGTGTGTTTTATATATATTGTTGTTGTTGTTGTTGCATACAGTTGAGTAGAAACCAACTCAAAGCTGATCCTTTACCAGAGCCTCTTTAGTACACCTTAGATAAATTATACGTGTTTATACGTATATTGGCCTCAATGAAGGAAAATGATCAGTTGGTAATGCAGCCACAATATATTAATCCGGTAAAAGCTACTCTGTTCCTCCCCTCTTTTACTGCATCCCTTTCTTTTGTTTGTTTTGTATTTTCTGCTTTTTTAAAAAAAAAAATCTGTCATCTTTGCAAACTGATATAAAATTTTTAAAAATCTGTCATCTCTTTAGTTCTAAGTGTGTGATTTTATTCTACTTTAATGAAATAGAAGTCTTTCTTTGCTTTCTATATCAAATAAGCTAACATCTCTCAAGCTGAAGACTTGAAGTTTTTTAGAAGACAAGCAGAGGGAAACAATGAAAAAACCCCTAAGTTATTTTATATTGGGTGCTCTGGTATACAAATTAATGGGTTAAATGATACAGTGACCAAATGTCATATTCCGAGTTAGGACAGTACAGAGTTACTCTTTTACTGTTAATCAAACTAGTCTAGATTCCATTTAAGATTAAGTGTCCTGGAAGTTCTTCCAATCTAAAAAATAGGAGACTGTCACACAGCAGATTAAATGGTTAAAAATGTTAGAATCTTCAGCCCAGCTTGATTATAAAGCCAGAGTGATGCCAAGGCCTTATTTTTCTTGACAAATTAGGGTGTTAACTCAGAAAATGGATTTAAGATTGGAATATAATTCTAGGGAATAGTAAAAGTGGATATGTTATGTGCTATCAAGTCAACTATGACTCACAGAAACCCAGTGAATAACTGATACTGAAAATTTCAATCTCAATAGAGTTTAAAATTTCAAATGATATTGCAGGTGTAGAGGCAGAAATAATGTTTATGGAGTCTTTTTATGTTGCAAATACTAGGCTGGATTTAAGTGTAGTATTTATCCTGTAGTTTAGTTCTTATTCCCATTTTACAGAGGAATTAATATTTGTTCCTGTAAGACAACTAGTAAGTATGAGGCATTTGTATGTAAATGCTACCGTGTAAACAATGTAAAGCTTGTATCGTTTAGGATTTCTTAGTTTTTGGCAACAAGAAACAATTCTAAACAATTTTTACTCAAGTAAAAAAAATTAAGGGGAAATAATTGAAAGATCAGGCTCTCTGCTCCTCGTCGATCCAGATTGCCCTCTGGTCTCATGCAGCCTCAGCTGCATCCCTGAGACATGATAGTGAATGTCGGAGTAATGGCCGCATTGGGCGACTGGTCATGAGGGCTGCTTTTAGCTCTGGCAAAGTGAATGTTGTCGCCATCATTGATCACTTCATTGACCTTAACTATATGGTCTATATATTCCAATATGTTTCCACCCATGGCAAGTTCAACAGCACTGTCAAGGCAGAATGGGAAGCTGGTCATCAATGGGAAAGTCATCACTATCTTCCAGGAGTGAGATCTTGACAACATCAAGTGGGTGATGATGCTGAGTATGTTGTGGAGTCCACAGGTGTCTTCACAACCTTGGAAAAGGCTGGGGCTCACCTGAAGGGTGGTACCAAATGGGTAATCATCTCTGCTCCTTCTGCCGATGCCCCCATGTTTGTGATGGGTGTGAACCATGAAAAGTATGCCTCCTGCACCACCAAGTGCTTGGCTCCCCTGGCCAAGGTCATCCATGACAACTTCGGCATTGTAGAGGGATTAATGACCACAGTCCATGTCATCACTGCCACAAGACTGTGGATGGCCCCTCTGGAAAGCTGTTGTGTTCATGGCCGTGGAGCTGCCCAGAACATCATCCCTGCATCTACTGGCACTGCCAAGGCCATTGGGCAAGGTCATCCCTGAACAGAATGGGAAACTTAATGGCATAGCTTTCTGTATCTTTACCCCCCATGTGTCAGTTGTGGACCTTATCTACCCTCTACAGAAAGTAGCCAAATATGATGACATCAAGAAAGTAGTAAAGGTCATCAGAAGTGCCCCTCAAGGGCATCCTGGGATACACAGAAGACCAGGTTGTCTCCTGTGACTTTGTGACACTCACTCTCCCACATTTGATGCTGGGGCTGGTATTGCTCTGAATGACCACTTTGTCAAACTCCTTTCCTGGTATGACAACGAATTTGGCTACAGCAACTGGGTGGTTGACCTGATGGTTCACATGGCCTCCAAAGAGTAAGAGGGCCTTAGACCACCATCCCCCGCAATCATATCCTTGACACAAGTTTCCATCAAATCCCCCTGAGAAAGGCGACGGGCTTGGAGAGCCTATCTTGTCAGGTACCATCAATAAAGTACACTACACTCAGCAAAAAAAAAAAAAAAAAATCCAAGATCAATGGAGATGTAAAGGGAGAGAGCGAGATGAACTAAAAAGGGAGGCAGAAAGAATATAATTTATCATATAGGTTATATAATCAAATAATCATGAATCCAAGCAGCTCTAAGTATATAGAAGGTCCTTGAGAGTGCTTAATTCCGAGTCCTTTCCGTGCCAGTTCGTTTTTACTCAAGATTTACAGTTCCCACGGAAGTCTGATTGGCCAAGGGTTTCCGCTTCTATGATCTGGGAGTTATAGCCCACTGTAGTTCACAGGAATGGAGGGAAACTAAGTATTTCCCGAAAGGAATAAGGCCTGTGCAGGATAAAAAAAAAAAACGAAAAAAAAAACCAAAACCAAAAACTGAATTCCTCCGTAAATTGTAGATAAATAAGAATTTTCTTTTTAAACAAATTAAATCTTCAGATTAGGTATCTAAACATTTTAGAAATTTAAACGTCTGGATTCAGGACTACATTCAGCTGAGCTATCATTTTTGTTTTGGTTGACCTCAAATTTGCTTTTAATTATTACTGTTCCTTTCCTTTCATAATTCCAAATCCCACATTGGTATACACTGCTTCTTAGATGTAACTCGGAGAAATCACCCTTTGCTGAAGAGTTGAGTTAATAGAAAATAATGAAAGAAACACAAGAAAACGATGACACTGAGCGCTAAGAGTCCTGGGTAGCTGGGCGACCCAGAGCTAGGCGTACAGCCAAAATTCCCTGCCGGGAAGGTGTTCCCAGGTGCACCGCGGCCAGCGGACCATGCAGGGTCGGAAGAGTCCCGCCGGACCAGCAGGGTCCGAAGTGCATGCTGGGAACTGCAGTTCCGCTGGGAATAGGCTGCGTCGCGGGCGCCGCACACGCGCACTAAGGGAGCCCAGGTCAACAAAGACAGCGACGTGCGCGCGCGTGGGCCGGAGAAAGGCACGGGAGACGTGCGCGTGCACGAGGCCGCAGCGCTGCACTACCAGGCGGCTGAGGGGACAGAGAGAGGGAGGGGCTGGAGCAAGGGCTAGTCTCCGACCGTCTTCAGAAGGGTTGCGCTCCTTGCCGAGGAAGGAGAAAGGGGCGGGGCCGGCGAGCACCGCGTGGAGGTGCGGAGCTCCGGGGACCGGCGGGCGCGCGGGGGGCTGTGACCGTCGCAGTGGCCGCCGCTGTCGCTTGGTCGCCGTCGGTCTGCGGGAGGCGGGTTATGGCGGCGGCGGCAGTGGGTGCTGTGAATGAATTCTCCGGGCGGACGAGGGAAGAAGAAAGGCTGCGGCGGCCCCAGCAGCGCGGTGCCTTCCAGGCCTCCGCCCCCCTGCCTGGCCCCCGCCCCTTCCGCAGCCGGGCCGGCCCCTTCGCCCCGGTCGCCGCATAAACGGAACCTGTACTACTTCTCCTATCCGCTGATCGTGGGCTTCGCGCTGCTGCGCTTGGTTGCCTTCCATCTGGGGCTCCTCTTCGTGTGGCTCTGCCAGCGCTTCTCCCGCGCCCTCATGGCCGCCAAGAGGAGCTCCCGGGCCGCGCCGGCGCCAGCCCCGGCCTCGCCCCCGGCCCCGGGACCCGGCGGGGAGGCCGACCGTGTCCGAGACTTCCACAAGCAGGCCTTCGAGTACATCTCCATCGCCCTGCGCATCGATGAGGACGAGAAAGGTATTGAGGACTCGGGGACGGGAATGCACCGGGAAGAAAGCGGGTGGGGTCGCAGATGGAAGGTAACACCTGAGTCCCTTTCCTGCAGCCCTGAAAATTGATTTGCCCCAGGAGAGTGCTGGCCCCCAAATCAAACTCCCTATCTTTGACTGTTGTCTGTTAGTCGTCCCCAAATCAAACTCCCTATCCTTGACTGTTGTCTCTTAGTCGCCTGCCCTGTGAGGACACACCAGTCATCCACTTTGTTTCCGACACCAGTTTCCTCTCACCCCGCCCCCCCTTACTTTGTGAGACACACAGACGTGCCGATGACACTGACAGTTGTCCTAGAGTGACCACACGGATCCTTTCTAGCACTGCAAACAGTGTGCGACGCCGTCAGAGCCAGGTTTCCAGAAGGTTTTGATGTCGAAGAAATTGTACCTTGTTACAGGCTTTTAGTGGGAAAAAAAAATGTGTGTCAGGGCGGAAAAGTGAAGAAAGAAAATTAAAAAAACACCAACCAAAACAAACGGTTACTTAATTTTGAAAGGAACAGCTGCATGCGATTACGGTTTTATTTGCATTACTTTGAAAGTTGGATGACATTTTATCAATATAATGACTCCTAAGTATTTTCCAGGAAAGTTGTATTTTAATATAAATACTTTGCTTCTGGTTGCTTTGTTTTTCTGTTTAGCCAGTATTTTGAGGTGGTTTAAGTTTCTAATCTGAAATGGTAGATGAATGAATAGGATAAACTTTCACATGCTATTTTCCAATATAACTTTATGGAAGCGAGGATCATACACCACTATCTTATCTTGGTTAGCTACTGGTGCTATAGCACATAACACAAGTGGATGACATTAATAAATTTCTCACAGTTCAGGAGGCTGCAAGTCTGAATCCAGGGCACCAACTTGAACAAGAGGCTTTTTCTGTTCAATTTGAAAGAAAGTTCTTGTCTTTTGAGCATCTGTTTCTTGATTTTTGGGAGATTCCCATATGATTTGGCATTAGTCTTTCCCCATCGCCCTTTGCCTTGCTTGGCTAATCTCTTAAATGTCTCAGAGAAGATTGATTTAAGATATCCTACTCTCTGTCTCATTAACATAACAAACCATTCCCAAATGGGATGTAGATAAAAGAGGTTAGAATTTATAGCACCCATATTTTGGGGAAGACACACTTTAATCCATTAACTAAGTCTCAGATTTCTTTAAGCTCACTTTTTTTTTTATCCAATTTGTAGAGCATGACTGAAACTGCAGTTAGGTTTGTATGTGCTATCTTAATCTTTGGAATAACACTGTGAGGTGAAAGTACGGTTAATATCAGCATTTTACAGATGAAGAAACTAAGTTTCTAGTGGTTAAGGTAGGCTCTTCTAAAACAATATTAATAGCTAGTGATGGAAGATCATAAACAATGGTTAGAATAAGTGATACTGCATTTTAAAATTCTCTCCTTTCATTTCTATCCCTAGTATGCAGAGATCTTACTTCCTCTCTAACTCCCAAAGAAATTAATCTTTGTAACCATGCCTCAATTAAATAACTTGTGTTATCCATTATGAAAAGGAGCCCTCTGCAGTTTGTCATGTCTGTACATTACCAACCCGAGAAATTGTTAAGATCTTAGTTGTACAGAAACTGGTTTATTTATGGTGGGGCCTAGGAGTGAACAGTAGGATATAGGGAAAGACCCAAATCTATTGCCATTGAATTAGTTCCAACTTAAAACAATGCACTTAACAAAGTACAGCTGTCCTTTAGCGTTTTCAAAGCACTAACTAGTTAGTGGAATAACTACTCCCTCACCTTTTCTCCTGAGCTGGTGGGTTGGGTTTGAAATACCAGCTTTGACATTAGCAGCCAGTTATTTTAACCACTGTACCACCAAGACTATCATAGGGAAAGAAGTTGATAGGTATTTGTCTGAGTCTTGGAATGTAATCACAAAGTGAAGATTAAGAGAGTTCAAAGATGAAGACACAGGTGACTTGTGGGCAGTGGCAGAGCTGGGTGAGGTAGGTGAAGTGCAGTCTGGCTGCCAAGCAGCGGAAGTTTACTGCCCAGGTGCATCATTTCATGAAAATATGTTGGGATAGGATAAGTATGTGGAGGAACAGGGAATGAGTCTAGATTGTCTCACTAAGAAATCTCTCTAGTTAAGGTACACTACTTTATTGCTACTTACTCTTGGCATCACCAGTCGATTTGTACAGAAAGGAGGGCAGTAGGCCGTCTCCTGAGAACATAACAGAAGCTGCGAAGGACTTGTTATTACAAGTGCCAGTTGAGTATGGACGTCATTTTCTTTTTTTTCGTAATCTTTTTTTATTATTATTAAATTTTATTAGTTTTAATGAACATTTACAGAGATTTTGGGTTTTCATTCATTCATTGTTGCATTGTTTTCTCTACCCTCCTCCCCAGTTCGTTCTTCTTTTGGACGTCATTTTCATTGTCAGCTCAACATCTAGTTGTTACCAAGCCTCTTGGTGCTGAAAAGTAATGGATCAGATATTTTAAAAGGACAATATATTTGGAATTTAGAAATTTCAGATTATATCACATCAGATTCAATAAATATGAATACTTCAAAACAAAACTACGAGGGAGTTACATTTTAAATAAAAATACTATATATTTACAAAAGGAATTTTTTTTCCTTACATTTGACGAACATCCAAGGATCTCTTGGGAAGGATTAATAGGGGTGCTATCCCCTATTAATAGGATTAATAAGGGTCCAATCCCCAAGGCATGTGGTTTGTTTTGAGTGAGGCCACCAGCTGGGGGTGGGGGGAGCTGGGTAGGGAAGGATGGGCAGTCTCCTCCCATGCAATTAACTGCCTCTGAACTCCCCTCCAACCCCCCATGTTGGTTGGTTCTGACTCTATGGTACAGAAGGACAACATGATCTCTTAGAGATGTACTGTTTTATGACAATATTTTATTTTATTGCAGTGGGGTTTTCTGAAACTTACTAATCTAGGTATTTTAGGATAGAAGGAATGTGTTTTAAGAGTGAATTATTTAATTGCTCTATTAAGGAAGTGTGGTGTTAGCCTAAAAGTTGGCTTTTTTTTAGCCATTACGTTAAACCCCCTCTGATCTCCAGCTACCTTGGCTGCTGACACAAGACAAACTATCAACAGCTGTGGTTCTTGCACAAGAAAGAGAGTGCTTCCCACAGTGAGTAGCAAGACCTGTGGCAGACAAAACTTAAGACAGGCAAAACCTTGGTGAGAATAAGACCCTGGTGACGATGGTGGAGAGGCTGTGGCATTGCTGTAGGGAAACTGTAGCAAGGTGTGACCTGAGGCTTCTCATATTTGTGCTGGCCACAGATAAAGGTTTTGCTGTTCTTGCTGGATGCTTGAAGGAGAAGCTGACTTAAAACTGCTCTGAAGGGAGCTCTTGTGGCTTAGTAGTAAGAAACTGCACTGCAATCTCAAAGGCATCTGGTTAGAATCCACCAGGTGCTCTGCTGGAGAAGGAGGGGCAATCTCCTCCTGTGCCAGTCGGATCTAATTTGACAGTACACAATGAGAAAGGAAAAAAAAAATTAAAAATTTAAAAACCCAAACTGCTCTGAATGAAACCTTGTTGGATGATTAAGGAAACCAGAGGCTTGAATGTTTTGCTGAACTGAAGTAAGACTTTTTACTAAACCTGGACTTATATTGTGAGATATTCTTTGCCTTCTTCGCTTTCCAACTAACTTCACTAATAAACCCCATTCTCAATACTGCAACTGTCTGTCTGTGAGTCAGCAACAACTAAATGAACCTCTTGCTGCTGGTGTGGTTCTAGATGCACCATGGGGCTGAACTGGGGGCTCTTTATCTGCTTTTGGCTCCAGGGCTATGAGGGTCTATGCTAGTCCCACCCCCTGTGGCCTTTTCTAAGAGACATTCACAGCCTAGTGCCCTCATGTACCATTGTCAGTTCTTCTAGACAAAAGACAATGCTGGGAGGGAGCTCTGGTGGCCTAGTGGCAAGATGCCTGCACTGCAATCCCAGAGGTATGCAGTTCAAATCCACCAGATGCTCTGCTGGAGAAGGAGGGGGCAATCTCCTCCTGTACCAGTCAGATCTGATTTGACGGTACATGTAAAAATAATACAATAAAAAGTAAAAAAAAAAAAAAAAAGACAATGCTGGGAATTTTGAGGAACTTTTAGTTAATACTTGATGATGAGAGATGAACAAGGTTGACAGCCACAATCAAGAAAAATAAATGTAGGTATTCTAAAACAATCCTGATGAATCTGTTGTTGTTTGGTGCCATTGAGTCAACTACACTCGTAGCAACCCTATGAATAACATCTGAACCTTGCCCTATCCCATAGCATCATCATTTCTGCTGTACTTGAATCCATTGATAACAATCACTGTATCAGTTCAACTTGTTGAAAGTATTTTGGTCTTTCTCCGGCTCTCTATCTTTCTAAGCATGATATATCTTTCCAAGGACAGGCCTCTCCTCACATCATGCCCAGAGTATATGATGAAGCTTCAGCATCCTTGCCTCTCAGGAGCATTCTGGTACCACATTCTCCATGACATACTTGTTGTTGTTTTTTTATTTTGGCAGTCCATAGACTCTTCTCCAACATCACAACTCAGTGACATTGATTCTTCTTCTGTCATTCTTATTCATTGTTCAGCTTTCAGATACATGTTGTTGTTTTGTATATTATCAAGAACCAACCTATAGCTGACCCTCCAGCAGGTTAATTTTTATGACCTCCTTAGACAATAGATTGAATGAAAAGACGGTTCAGACTTCTCCCACAGAGCTACTGATAGTTTTAAGCTACATGCCTTTGGGATTACAGCACAACTTCTTACTACTAAATCAGAGCTGCTTCTGATGGACAGCAGATTATGAAAAAGATCATGGCCTGGACTAAGTGCACCTTAGTTTTTAAACTCCTAAAAAGAAAAAATAAAAATCCAAAACCCAAACGGATATCATTTCTCTTAAGCATGTTGGAGAGATTATTG